CAAATTCCACCGAAGAAGCTTCCAGGCACCCATCCTGAGGAAGACATTGCACAATCCATAAACAGAAATCATCAGTAGCAAGATAACATCACAGAGCAATAACTGTCTCTGTTGAAACACACAGAGGCCATGAGCAGACAAAGGGAACCGGTATGTGTGTAACTGCTGAGGAGGTCCCAGAAGCCACAGCTCCAAGTGCTTCCTGTGCTGGGCACTCCTGTCGATTGAGCATTGACCATGAGGTTCACCCTGATAACCAAGCTATTAAGTGAGCCCTCATCCCCCCTCCAGTGAAACTGAGGCTCAGGAGAGAAGTGACAGGCATTACTTCCTGCCAGCAGCTTTAAGAGCCTGTTCATGGACCAGGTGTGGTGGCTCATGACTGTAATCCCAGCATTTTGGGAGGCCAAGTTGAGAGGATGACTTGACGTCAGGAGTTCGAGACCAGCCTGGCCAACATGACAAAAACCTGTCTCTAACAGAAATTAGCTGCGCGTGGTGGTGCATGCCTGTAGTTCCAGCTCCTGGGGAGGCTAAGGCATGAAAATCACTTGAGCCTGGGAGGCAGAAGTTGCAGCGACCTGAGATCCTACTACTGCACTCCAGCCTGCGTGATAGAGTGAGACTGTCTCAAAAAAAAACAGGCAGTGCATCCTTCCCCTACTTTTCCTTCCAGCAAATAACCATCAATGTTCTTCAGAGCAGCCACCCACCAGCTGAATTCCAGAATGAGGAGGAGACTCTCCCAACCCCATTTGGCCAATAATGACATGTACCATGAGCAATAAATAAAGTCTCTGAGATACGGGAGCTTTTTTTTTTTTGAGACAGAGTCATGCTCTGTCGCCCATGCTGGAGTGCAATGGTGTGACCTCGGCTCACTGCAACCTCTGCCTCCTGGATTCAAGTGATTCTCTTGCCCCAGCCTCCCAAGTAGCTGGGACAACAGCCATGCACAACCAGGCTCAGCTAATTATTGTATTTTTGGTAGAGACAGGCTTTCGCCATCTTGGCCATGCTGGTCTCCAACTCCTGACTTCACGTGATCTACCCACCTCAGCCTCCCAAAGTGCTGAGATTACAGGCATGAGCCACCACCCTAGGCCAGAAGCTATTTTTAATGCAGAAAACCTGGGCTATCTTTACTTATCATAAATATACTCTTCTGCAACTTGCTTTCTCTTGACATTATTTTTATTATATTTCCATAATCATACATGTTGCTCGTTTATTCATTTTCACTGCTGTGTAATATTTCATCATATAACTTGTCCTCACCTTTTAAAATCCTTTTTTTCTGATGATATCTATTTAAGTTTGTTCCAATTTTTGGTTCACGCTGGTCCGTACCTACTTAGCCATAATTCAAATTCCAGGAAACCTAAAAATGGAAGGCTTTTTTATAATTTATTTAGCTTTAGCAGCAAGATCTGACCTGACTTGAACTTCTTTAGTGGCAAAACCTGGTCTGAATAGACAGAAAGCTATCTATAATCATTATGCCACTTAATGTGAATATTCATATGTTCCACTGAGGAAATATTTAGATTTTTTTTTTTTTTTTTTTTGAGACAGGGTCTCCCTCTGTCACCCAGGCTGGAGTGCAGTGGCGCGATCATAGCTCATTCCAGCATCAACCTCCTGGGCTCAATAGATCCTCCTGCCTCAGCCTCCTGAATAGCTGGAACTATAGGTGTGGGCCACCGTACCGAGTTTAGATTTTTGCTTACAGGATAAACCATTCCTCTCAAGAAGTATGATAGATTTCATGAATACACCATATTATCTTTCAAAATTCTAAGAATTTCTAAAACTCAAAACACGTTTAGCTCCAAGGGCTCTGGATAAGAGATGCTGGACCAGCACAAACATGACTGCAATGTACATGTGTGGCAGAATGTATTTTCCAAAGATGCCCTCAACAATATTTCCTGTCTTCACGCTCATCCAGAACTTTCTCTAATTTCCCTTCCTGTGAATCTGGGTGGAATGTTGAGATTACAGGCATGAGCCACCAAGCATGGCTGGGATGATTTGTTATGCAGTAGCAATAGTAAGTGGAGCAACACACTTCTTTTTCTTTCTTTCTTTTTTTTTTTTTTTTGAGAGAAAGTCTTGCTCTATCACCCAAGCTGAAGTGCAGTGGTACTGTCTTGGCTCACTGCAACTTCTGCCTCCTGTGTTCAAGCTAGCCTCCTGCCTCAGCTTCCTGAGTAGCTGGGATTAAAGGTGCACCATCATGCCCGGCTAATTTTTGTATTTTTAGTAGAGATGGGGTTTCACCATATCGTCCAGGCTGGTCTTGAACCCCTGACCTCAAGTGATTCCCCCCCATCTCCCTGCCTTGGTCTCACAAAGTGCTGGGATTACAGACATGAGCCACCGCGCCCAGCTGCAACACACTTCTATATGTAACTTGTGCATAGGGGCAACAATTTATCCAGAGCACATGGTTTACAAGAGAGGATTTGGTGAACAGGTGAGATATCCAAATCTTCTGCTTAACTATTTTCCAAAGTGTTCTCCAAAATGGTTGTAGCAATTTATACTCCCAGCAGCAGTGAAGGGGGGCTTCCTTTATTTTCTGCTTCACCCACCATTACTACATGATCAGAACTTTCCAGGGTTTGGTCCTTCTGCCACCAATCCCCTCTGAAGAGAAAGAGTAACATAAGAGTTAGCAAAAGCTTCCAAGAGCTTTGATTCTATACAGGACTATGCCTTTGCTGTCAAAAAACTTACTTGTAGCCAGTCATGGTGGCATGAGCCTATAGTCCCCGCTACTCATGAGGGTGAGACAGGAGGATCACTTGAGTCCAAAAGTTTCATGTTGTAGTGCGCTATGTCAGTTGGGTGTCTGCACTAAGTTCGGCATCAATACGGTGACCTCCCAGGACGGGGGGACCACCAGGTTGACTACAGTGGGATGAACCAGCCCAGGTTGGGCATGGAGCACGTCAAAACCCCAGTGTTGGTTAGTAGTGGGATCATGCCTGTGAATAGCCACTGCAATCCAGCCTGGACAACATGAGACCCTACCTCTAAAATAATTAAAAAATAAAATAAAATAGGCCTGGCGTGGTGGTTCATGCCTGTAATCCCAGCACTTTGGGAGGCTAAGGAGAGTGGATCACCTGAGCTTAGGAGTTTGAAACCAGCCTGGCCAACATGGTGAAACCCTGTCTCTACTAAAAATACAAAAATTAGTCGGGGTTGGTGGCACATGCCTGTAGTCCCAGCTACTTGGGAGGCTGAGGCAGGAGAATCGCTTGAACCTGGGAGGCAGAGGTTGCAGTGAGCTGAGATTGAACCCATTGCACTCCAGCCCGGGTAACAAGTGAAACTCTGTCTCAAAAAATATAATAATAATAAAAATTAAAAATAAAAACTGACTTACAACCCTTTTCTAGATTCTGCCCAGTCTTTCCTATCCTGGACAAGAAGGCCTAAGGCATGAGAAGATTGCTCCTAGTATTGCCTGATAGAACTCATTCTCTCATTCAACAGATATTAATATTTATCAAGTACTCGCCGGGCACGGTGGCTCAGCCCTATAATCCCAGCACTTTGGGAGGCCAAGGACAGCGAATCCTTTGAGGTCAGGAGTTCGAGGCCAGCTTGGCCTACGTGGTGAAACCTCATCTCTACTAAAAATACAAAAAATAATTAGCCGGATGTCATGGCGGGTGCCTGTAATGCTAGGTACTTGGGAGGCTGAGGCATGAGAATTGTTTGAACCTGGGAGGCGGAGGTTGCTGTGAGCTGAGATTGCCCCACTGCACTCCAGCCTGGACAATAGAGTGAGACACTGTCTCAAAAAAACAAAGAAAAAGAAAAACATTTAATGTTTATCAAGTGCCAAACTAGGTGCCAGACATTTTTCTAGATGCTAAGAGAAAATGATGATGATGATGATGAAGCCACTACCATCCAGGTACCAGGTATTTATTGACCTTTTTTAAGTCACCCAACATCCATTCACCTGACTTCTGAAACAGATTTCCTTTTCTCCTTGTTTTCAGTCTACGTGGTTCTCTGAGGTTGTTCACTCCATTTTCATCCCAAGACATCATGTTAACCTACCTGGCCAGTCAGAATATTATACTCCTTCTGCAACAGTGATTGGTTCACGGCTGAGCAGAACAGCCAGAGCCGATAAGACTAAATTTCCAGCTTTCTTTGTGCCTTTGGAGAAGTCAACTTTCTCTTTCATGCTAGACATAAATATGACAGGTTTTGAGGCCACAGCAATGGCAACTGTTTTGTCAACATGTGGAACCTGAGAATGAAGTGAGCATGTGAACAGATTCTGATACAAACAGCAAAGAGAAATTGAGTCCTAATGATATATTTTCAGTCTTGTATCCACCTAGTCCTGACCTGCCTTTCTTTCCTTCCCCAGTTTTGTATTTCTGAGGTTTTTAGAAGTGCGTTTTTTTGTTTGTTTGTTTGTTTGTTTTTTTAGACGGAGTTTTGCTCTTGTTACCCAGGCTGGAGTGCAGTGGCGCGATCATAGCTCATTCCAGCATCAACCTCCTGGGCTCAATAGATCCTCCTGCCTCAGCCTCCTGAATAGCTGGAACTATAGGTGTGGGCCACCGTACCGAGTTTAGATTTTTGCTTACAGGATAAACCATTCCTCTCAAGAAGTATGATAGATTTCATGAATACACCATATTATCTTTCAAAATTCTAAGAATTTCTAAAACTCAAAACACGTTTAGCTCCAAGGGCTCTGGATAAGAGATGCTGGACCAGCACAAACATGACTGCAATGTACATGTGTGGCAGAATGTATTTTCCAAAGATGCCCTCAACAATATTTCCTGTCTTCACGCTCATCCAGAACTTTCTCTAATTTCCCTTCCTGTGAATCTGGGTGGAATGTTGAGATTACAGGCATGAGCCACCAAGCATGGCTGGGATGATTTGTTATGCAGTAGCAATAGTAAGTGGAGCAACACACTTCTTTTTCTTTCTTTCTTTTTTTTTTTTTTTTGAGAGAAAGTCTTGCTCTATCACCCAAGCTGAAGTGCAGTGGTACTGTCTTGGCTCACTGCAACTTCTGCCTCCTGTGTTCAAGCTAGCCTCCTGCCTCAGCNTAGAGACGGGGTTTCACCATGTTGACCAGGATGGTCTCGATCTCTTGACCTCGTGATCCACCCGCCTCGGCCTCCCAAAGTGCTGGGATTACAGGCTTGAGCCACCGCGCCTGGCCTAGAAGTGCGTTTTGCTTTAATTGGAATTGAATCATAGCACACATACAGAAAAATATACATTATAACAAAAGTATACTAAATTTTTACAAACCGAATATACTGAATATACTCATTTAACCAACACTCATATCAAGAAGTGAGGACATTACTGTATATGATGTACACATGTACATCATATATGTATGTGTATGTATATGACAGTGTATGTATGTGTATGATATGCGTATGTATATGATGTAGACTGTCTCCAATCTGATAGTTCGATGTACCGATTTGTTAATTTCATGATGGTGAGAAAGTGATATATGTTCTGTAGAAACTGAACTTCAGGAAGGCCGGGTGCGGTGGTTCACACCTGTAATCCCAGCACTTTGGGAGGCCGAAGCAGGTGATCATTGAGGTCAGGAGTTCAAGACCAATCTGGTCAATATGGTGAAGCCCCATCTCTACTAAAAATACAAAAAATTGGCCAGGCGTGGTGGTGTGCACCTGTAATCCCAGCTACTAAGGAGGCTGAGGCAGGAGAATCGCTTGTACCCAGGAGGCAGAGGTAGCAGTGAGGGGAGATCTCACCACTCTACTCCAGCCTGGCAACAGAGTGAGACTCCATCTCCAAAAAAAAAGAAAGAAACTGGTCTTCAAGTACGTATACAACCATTCTGTTTTTCAGTTTTGGTACAGTATTCAATAAATGACATGAGATATTCAACACTTGATTATAAAATAGGCATTGTGTTAGATAATTTTACCCAACTTTAGGCTAGTGTAAGTGTTCCGAGCACATTTAAGGTGGACTGGTCTAAATTAAGATGTTTGGTAGGTTACGTGGATTCAATGCATTTTCAGTTTATGGTATTTTCAGCTCACAGTGCGTTTAGCAGGCTGTAGCCCCTCTGTCGAGGAGCATCTGTGCTGTTATATCTGGCTTTTGCTCACCATGTTTTTGAGATTCATGCATACCGATGAGTGAGATTGTAAAACCATTCATTTTAATTGCTGAATAGTATCCTGTTGTGTGAATACGCCATAGTTTACGTTCCAGTCAACTGCTGTCATCTGGCATTTGGAGAGTTTCTAGTTAGAGGATACTAGGAATAACGCTGCCATAAGCTCCCTGGGACAGCGGCTCACACGGTAACCCTTAGTTTCTTTCAATATCTTAGTTCTGCTTCCCTCTGAGCTGGTTTCATCAGATTCACGTGTTCCTCTTGACCAGCTCATTCCCAGCTGCTCCAGGCTTCCATTCCACAGCTAAGTTACTTAGCCAAAAAAGAAATTTCATAATAAAGCCTCACTGGTCTGGCTTCATTCACATATTCCTCCCTGAGCCGAACCCAGTGACTAAAGAGATGGAGTGTGCTCATTGGACAGAAGTGGTCACATGCCCACACCTCCAACCCCACGCCCCAATCCGCCCCCACCCTGGAGCCAGGAAGCAAGAGCAGCTTCCTGTGAACCACATGACTTACGTGGGGCGGGGTGGCTCCCCGAGGGGAAATCAAAGTGCAGTTATTCAAGTGGAATTGTTGCTGGGCAGGCAAAAACAACAGATATTTATGGACCACACCAGGTTTTATTTTTCAATGCTTTCATGCCTTTAGGTGTTCTGTTTCTGCTACCAGGATATACTGTGTTCTCTTTCTCCACATCCTCTAAGACCCAGCTTAAATATTTTTCCCATCCTGAAACCTCCCAGAATTATTTTTAGACTTGAATCTGGATGGATGTTCTTTTTTTTTTCCTTGAGAGTCTCACTCTGTTGCCCAGGCTGGAGTGGAGTGGCGTGATCTTGGCTCACTGCAAGCCGGGATTACAGGTGCCCACCAGGACACCCAGCTAATTTTTGTATTTTTACTAGATACAGAGTTTTGCTGTGTTAGCCAGGCTGGTCTTGAACTTCTGCCTCAGGAGATCCACCCACTGTAGCCTCCCAAAGTGCTGGGTGGGATTACAGGCCTGAGCCACCATACCCGGACTGGATAGATGGTCTTAACCTCCATTCACTCTCCTGTTGGAAGAGGTTCAGAAGCTTAAAACAACATTTAGCAGGCTCTCTTGCAGCTAGGTCAGTGGGAAATTAAGTTCTGTCAGTTACATTCATTTGCATGAGATCTGAGGGTGGGAGAGAGGCAGAGGTCATCTTCTTGGGGCTGTGTCAGCCAAGGGAACAGTTCTGGCAGGTGGGAGGAGTGTTTACGGTGGAGTCCACTGTGTAGTCCCCACTTAGGAGGGTGTGAGGCAGTAGGATGGAGGTCATGGTGATGGCAGGGACAGAACAGCAGCATTTTGGTAACCTTGGCAGCATGACCTTGCTGGAAGAAGCTTGAAATCAAAAGCCCAAAATGGCTCTTGATTTCTATTCTTCCAGACCTCCTGGCGATTTTGTAAGCACCTGTATCCCTGTATTAAAACTTTTCTTTTTAAAAAAATTATATACACGGAGTCTTATTATGTTGCCCAGGCTGGTCTCAAACTCCTAGCCTCAAGCAATCCTCCCTCCTGGGCCTCCCAAAACACTGGGATTACAGGTGTGAACAACTGTGCCTGGCCGCAAAATTCTTTTTTGGGCCAGGTGCAGTTGTTCCCAACTGTCATCCCAGCAGTTTGGGAGGCTGCGGTGGGCAGATCACCTGAGGTTGGGAGTTGGAGACCAGCCTGACCAACATGGAGAAACCCCATCTCTACTAAAAGTACAAAATTAGTGGGGTGTGGTGGCGCATGCCTATAATCCCAGCTACTCAGGAGACTGAAGCAGGAGAATGGCTTGAACCCTGGAGGCAGAGGTTGTGGTGAGTAAAAATAGTTCCATTGCACTCCAGCCTGAGCAACAAGAGCAAAACTCCATCTCTAAATAAATAAATAAATAAAATTTTTTTAAAATAAAAATTTATGGTCTGGGCATGGTGGCTTATGCCTGTAATCCCAACTCTTTGGGAGGGCAAGGTGGATCACTTGAAGTCAGGAGTTCAAGACAAGCCTGAACAACATGGTGAAACCCCATCTCTACTAAAAATAAAAATTAGCCAGGCATGGTGGTGTGCACCCGTAATTCCAGCTACTCGGGAGGCAGGGGAAGGAGAATCGCTTGAACTCGGAAGTAGTGAGCCAAGATTGCACCATTCCACTTCAGCCTGGGTGACAAGAGCGAAACTCCATCTCAAAAAAAAAATTAGAACCAGTTATGGTGGTTCACACCTGTAATCCCAGCAGTTTGGAAGGTAGAGGTGGGCAGATCACCTGAGGTCTGGAGTTTTAGACCAGCTTGGCCAACATGGTGAAACCCCACCTCTACTAAAAATACAAAAATTAGTCAGGTGTGGTGGCACACACCTGTAGTCCCAGCTTGTCCGAAGGCTGAGGCAGGAGAATTGCTTGAATCCAGGAGGTGAAGGTTGCAGTGAGCCAAGATCCTGCCACTGCACTCCAGCCTGGGCGAAAGAGTGAGACTTCGTCTCAAACAAACAAACAAACAACCGGGCACAGCGGCTCATGCTTGTAATCTCAGCACTTTGGGAGGCCGAAGTGGGTGGATCACAAGGTCGGGAGTTTGAGACCAGCCTAGATAACATGGTGAAACCCTGTCTCTACTAAAAAAAGTACAAAAAAAAATTAGCTGGGTATGGTGGCGGACACCTGTAATCCTAGGTACTCAGGAGGCTGAGGTGGGAGAATCGCGTAAATTCGGGAGACGGAGATTACAGTGAGCTGAGATTGTGCCATTGCACTCCAGCGTGACCAACAAGGTGAGACTCCATCTCAAAAAAAAAAAAAAAAAAAAAAATTTACTTAATCAGCTGGGTGTGGTGGCTCCTGCCTATAATCCTGGCAATTTAGGAGGCCGAGTTGGGTGGTTCATTTGATACAGGAGTTCAAGACCAGCATGGCCAACATAGGGAAACTCCTCTCTACTAAAAATACAAAAAATTAGCTGGGCCATGATGCTGCGTGCCTGAGGCTGAGGCAGGAGAATGGCTCGATCTTGGGAGGCAGAGGCTGCAGTGAGCCCAGACCGCTCCACTGCACTCCAGCCTGGGTGACACAGCAAGATCCTGTCTTAAAACGAAACAACACAACACAAACAAAAGAACAGGCCGGGCACAGTGGCTCATGCCTGTAATCCCAGCACTTTGGGAGGCCGAGGCTGGCGGATCACCTGAGGTCGAAAGTTCAAGAGCAGCCTGACCAACATGGAGAAACCCTGTCTCTACTAAAAAATACAAAATTGCCTGGTGGTGGTGGTGCATGCCTGTAATCCCAGCTACTCAGGAAGCTGAGGCAAGAGAATTGCTTCAAGTTGGGAGGCGGAGGTTGCAGTGAGCCAAGTTCGTGCCACTGCACTCCAGCCTTGGCAACAAGAGTGAAACTTCATCTTAAAAAAAAAAGGAACAGCTTTCCGTGCTACCTGCCAAGGGCTCCATACGGCGTTGTTCTGGATTCCTGTCGTAACTTAAAGGGAAATTTTCACAATGTTTGGAGCCCCTGATGTCCTGCAAATGAAGGAGGAGGATGTCCTTAAGTTCCTGGCTGCAGGAATCTATTTAGGTGGCACCAACCTTGACTTCCAGATGGAACAGTATATCTATAAAAGGAAAAGTGATGGCATCTACATCATAAATCTGAAGAGGACCTGGGAGAAGCTTCTACTGGCAGCTCGTGCCATTGTTGCCATTGAAAACCCTACTGATGTCAGTGTTATATCCTCCAAGAATACTGGCCAGAGGGCTGTGCTGAAGTTTGCTGCTGCCACGGGAGCCACTCCAATTGCTGGCCACTTTACTCCTGGAACCTTCATCAACCAGATCCAGGCAGCCTTCCGGGAGCCACGGCTGCTTGTGGTTACTAACCCAAGA